AGCGGGGCGCGTTTTTTAACAAATCTGCCCAATGTGCAGTGAAACATGGAAACTATGTATGCCTGCTTTCACAGTTCTCTTTTCAAAGTTAACAGACCCTTCAGACCCATAGTGGGTCCCGTTTTTAAACGAACTTATTTTTACCTGTGAATTGTTACAAAGGTTTGTTTTGAAGTTGCAATTTAACTACTATGTTGTAATTTTGTATTTGAAATCTATGATACTTAAGAATCTCTTATAGGATAACACACAATCTTTTATACGAAAGTTGCAATAAACTTGACGAATTACAATTGAAAGAATGCGAAAGAAAAGTAATATAACACTTCCTTTGAGAGATAATGAGAGAGTGTGACCTCACAATGTCTTGTACTAGGTGTTTCTCTCCTTGAGAATAACATTAAACAAATTTTTGAATTTAGAGTTGCATTTGAAAAAGTTTCTTCAAAATATTTGTCGAGATACGTTTCATAACTTATAAAAACATAAACTTGTAAGGTGGTAAAACTGTGTATATCATGTGATTCCCATTTATTTAAGTTTTCAATGTGTTATAATATGGCAACAAATATTATCTTATGTAATTAATAAGTTATTGTCAGTTGTAATAAATTGCAAAGAGATAAATTTTCAATACTTTTATTTGTATTATTTATTTAACATCAACAAATGTATGATCATATTATTTATTTTTATATTGTTTAACTGTGTTTCATTTGAAGAAAAAATGAGAGACCTCAACGATCTGGTAAAAATTAAATTCGAAGATATCTCACTATTAACCATGACTGATATTATACAGTATGTATATAAGTTATTATTTAGTTATGAAGTAAGAGTCAAATTTTATTTGTCAAAGAGTAACCTAAATGGTGAAATAACCTACCTTATTAAAAAAACAAAAAAAAAACAAAAAAAAACATAATATAGCTAGGCTACCAGACGGGCCGCTCGGGTCCCGGCAAACGAACCCGTGCAAGGACAAAGGACGACCCCAGCTAAAAAAAAAAAAAAAAAACAACAACAACAACAACAACAACAACTATATTATGCAGAAAAATAAACTAAACAACTTTTGTTCGAGGGTCGCATCGAGATTGTTTACCAAATTTCAAATCAAAAATAAAATTTAAAAATATTTCTATTATTTTTATTATTTTTATTTTTTTTGGCTCGGTCGGGCAAGTGATCCCGGACCGCTCTTGTAGTCTAGTAATATATTTATTTTTTTTAATAATTTATGATTTTTGCAATAATTATATTACCACACCTTCGATAAAAACTCATTATTTTTGGGCAATCAAATCTATAAAATTTGTTCATGAGTTTTTTTTTTCACAAGTCCATAATTTTTTTTCATAATAAAGCAGTTAAAATTGTCACCATTAGTTTATATGATATAATTAGGAATGACGCAGGGTGTCAATTTCATATATTTGTTTTGACTCATTTTTTAAAATAGTAGTAAAATAATATTATATATTATGCTTTATGCTAATTTATTGTTTGTAAGCACTGAGCTGTAATAAGTTTTAGTATGCGGGTTAATTACGGTAAAGAAAACTTGCAAAACTCAAAGGAGTTCATCATCATACAATGATTTGCCCTTTGTCACTTGTTGACGTACATGAGTAAGTTTTATTGAAGATATTGACGTGTATAAATATAAATGAGCAGTTAGTACGACCCTTATTTTTATTGTCTTTAAAAAATAACATAATTTTACAAATTCAGGATTTGACTTAAAGGGTAGATGTTTTGAATTAAGGATACTTTAAAAATTTATTTTGACATATTCATACATTGTATTGAAGTATGCAATAGGGGTTGTTACGGTATAAAAATATATATATTAACTCGTTCATGAGTATAATATTTTCGAGGTAGTGTTTTTTTTTTAACTGTTGTTTTATTATTTTATTTAACGTGGTGAAGCTATTGGTTATAGCTCACTCAACCCATTATTCATCCTTTTTGCATTAAGTGATATATACTTTGACTATAATTTATTATTTATTCATTGTCTAATATATTGCAATAACATAATGCCTCTTCATGTTAATTTTATGCTTTGCGGATGCGACTTAAACTATTTTTTTTCCTTATAATTTTAATGGTGGAATGTTATTTTATGGATGATGTTGAGTCTTATAGAAACGGTTTTGAGACCAGTATCTAATTATTTTGCTTATGAAATGAAGCGTATCTTCATTGTATGTAATTGCTCGTTTGCTTACTAACCCATATTTGAATGTTTGAATCTTTTCGCAACGATAATGAGTTTAAGTGGTGAAAGTTCGGAAGTATAGGTTATGCTCTTACTGGATCGGAATTGTGATAAATCCAATAACTAGGTGTGATATAATAAAAGACTAAGAGAAACATCAACTATAGTTTGATGAGGAAGTTGTCAACCTTTGGTTTGATTGGGGTCTACTTTGGTGGCAATTAATAATACTATATGTAGTCATTTTTTGTAGAATTTGTTTATCTATATGGGTCAATTAATTTTTCCACTTTCATGATTGAGGAGATAATAACTGAGTTTCTTAAAGGGAAAACTAATGCGCAGTCTATGTTTTCAGTTTTAAATACGTTTCAATCACGGTTTCGTGATTTTTGCTAAAAAGGGAGGAAAATTGTGAATGTATCTAACCCAATTGTAGGATTGGGTGGGGATGCGTTGTATTGGAGGGATGCTTGAAGTGGATTTATAACTGAAAATTTAACTGCACCGTAATTACCCCTTTTTTAAATTTATTATGTTATGGTAGAGACAAACCTTGGGTTGAAGACTGTATTCCAGTCTGTTCCCATGAGAAGGTTTGGTAAGTCTGATACTATTAAGGGGAATTATTAAAGAAACTTTACCCTCTTTGAATATTCAGCAGGTGCATTGACACTCGTAAACGTCCATTCCAAGCAATGCGAAGCATTCACACCCATCCCCACACTGATTTACACTGAATCACATCTGGGTTATTCTCTTTCAGCCTCATGAACATCCATCCGGTGGTCGTGGTTTTTTAGGATTGACTTACCGTGAGCGCATGGGTGAGCAACTCATAGTTTGTTTATTGATGTGGTTGGGGAAGGGTAAGGTAGTGATTATGTTGTGTGTATGTTTTGTCATGTTCAACATACACAACTCGAAGAGTGTATGTGGGGGGGGTCTGAGTTGGGTGCTTTATTCACGTGTGTGTGGGATCCTGGTTGGTGCTTTATTCACGTGTGTTTATGGGGGTCTGGTTGGTGCTTTATTCACGTGTGTGTTGGGTCCCGGTTGATGCTTTATTCATGATGTTTATAGGACGTTGGACCCAGTTTCCAACATGTGGCGTTCCATATCAGTAGACAGGCGAATGCGTGCACGTGTGTATGTGAGAATGAGTGTATGTGTGTGTGTGTGTATGTGTGCGTGTGTGTGTATATGTGTGTGTGTGTGTGTGTGTGTGTGTGTGTGTGTGTG